TCTCGTTCTTAGATCACAACCCGATCTAAAACTCTCTCAAGACAAATCTCTTAGCCCTCTTAAGCATTATGCTTTCTCACAAGAAACCCCATAACCTTAATGTCTAAGAATTCTCTTTCTCTCTTGTGCTCTCCTTTTCTAAAGCCTAAGCCCCCTATTTATACTAAATAGGTCGTGGCTATACAACAAGCCGATTTCCTATTCTAACACTAATAGGAATAGACAATTTCCTTTTTCTTAAGGATAAGGAAATTGTCCTTTCTCTTCATGTTTCCATTTCTTCCTATGAAAAGGAAACTCTTCAGTCTTCTAGAATCTTCTCCAAGCTTCTAGTATCCACAGCCAACCGCCATAGACCGACTTTACCAATTTCCAAATACTTGCTTCACGTAATTCTATTCTGTTGAACTACTTCTTGTACTACTCTGAACTAGTTCAACGACTACTTCAGCAGCTTCATCTTCACTCTTCGCCTTCTATAAATGTCGCTTTTAGTTTCTCTTCATCTTGATATAAAACTCATTAAGAATACATCAACAATCTCTCCCTTTCTTAGTGAGTTTTATAATCCAAGCTTCACACATCATTAACTTCAATTATTACTTTGATGATCTCCAAACTCTCTCTCAACCTTGAAACAAAGATCTCAGCAACTTCTAAAACTCGGTCTTCATAACACCAACAATCTCCCCCTTGATGACTGAGTTTTAGAACCAAAGCACATACTTAATGCTGAGATAAAACATCATGCTTCGTTATATCACTTCATGTGCTACTTTGTCACCGGTACATCGAGTGTGTCAACTAGCTGCATCAATAATCTCCCCCTTTTTAACTTTGTGTGTCTCACAAGCATCTGTAAAGCAGACCCATAAAGCTACACACAAGCCACATAGGGTTCTAGCAAAGAACAAGCAAAACCATCTTCAAAACTTCTCCTTAATCATATGCCATCTTATGAAAACTCCCCCATAAAACAACATCTTTCTCTTAGCCAAATTCTTCTCCCCCTGCTTGTGAGCACACACAAGTTAAAAACACTTTCATAGGTTGACACACACATGAATCCCAGCTGAACTACTTCAAATGTCAAGTTGGTCAAATCTGAAACTTCATATGACTTCTGTCCAAAATAGGTTGAATAAAACCCAAACCCACCGTCAAAAACTCAATCCCACCGTTGCTTTTTAAGACAGTAGTACCAAGAAGCTTGCCACCAAGTTTCAGCTCGATCAGAATACTTTTAGATCTCCAAACGTTACCTTGAATTAGGCATCTTGAAACTGTTTTTCTGCTTCACTAATCCGGAAATTTCATACTTTGTCCTTGATGATGCATATCATATCTTCTCTTCTTCTTTCTTCTCCTCATTGATGTAGCTCTCTCTAATAACCACCAGAGATAAACATTGTATCTGATTTTGAAAGATTTCCTTTAAATCCAAGACCATATCGATCAGTTTTGCCAATGTTTAGAATATGATCCAACTGCTTAGTGCCATTATTAAGCATCCTCAAATTCTTGTGAGTTTCTTCAAGTTGCACTCTAGCTTGTGATGCTTCTTCTTCCATCTTTATTGCATATTTTTGTGTTTCAGCCACCTTTGCCTCCATCTTGAGTTTTTCCCTTGTTAACACTGAATTCTCCTCAACTAGGTTAAGCCATTGTTCATATAACATCTTGTACTTGACACTCTCTACCTCGTTGCAGCTTTCTGATGCAAGTTCTGATACAGTTGGAGGTTCTGATGCAGGTTCTGCTGCAGGTTTTAATGTAAGTTCTACTGCAGGTTTTAATGCAGGTACTGTTGCAGGTTCTACTGCAGGTTCTGTTGCAGGTTCTGTTGTAGGTTCTGTTGCAGGTTCTGTTGCAGTTTCAGTTTCTGTAGCAGTTGTAGTCTCTGTAGCAGTTGCAGTCATATTGCGAGAATATCCACTTCTTGACGTACTTCTTGATTTTCCAGACTTACTTTCTATCCTTCCTGACGTATGTTCTGATGTAATCTGATAAAGATCAGATTTCTTCACCCATATTTGACTTCGGAATCCATTCCAGGAAAATTTCCCTTGATGTTTGAGTCTACTTATTCTGTCTCTGAATCTGTAGCAATATGCTTTAATGTGCTCATTCTTTCCACAAAAATAACATCCAGTTCCTTTGGATGCATTACTTTCATATTTGTTTGGATTTGGTGGAGAGACACTTTCAGCTGCAAACATGATTTGCCCTGTTTGAGATCCTTTTTGTCCAGTATATCCCAAACCTCTGTTAGATTTTCCTACTCTTGTAGAAACAGTCAGCTTGCCCTTCATACTTTCTTGACAGATTTTTGTTTTATCCCTCAGTTCATTCTGTAGTAACTCAACAAGTTCGTCAAGACGACGC